GCCTCTCTCTGTCTCTTTTACAAATACTTTCATGGCAATTGCTCCGAGGAGCTGCATTCGCTGGTTCCCAGACTTCATGAGTTCAAGCGCCCTACGAGGCTGGCATCCCGCTCTCACCCTTTCACTGTCGAAACTCCTAAATGTAGCCGTCTCTTCTACTCCAATAGCTTCATGTCTCGCACCTCTCGCCTGTGGAACTCCCTTCCCTATTCCTGTTTCCCTGAGAGCTATAATCTCCAGCTATTCAAATGTAATGTCAATCGGCATCTCCAGTTGCCTTGATCTATCCACTACCCTTCTCCTCATCCTTTCCTCTATCACTCCTATCTGATCTTACTCCAAATTTTCTATAACCCCTTGCGTCCTAGTGGCTTCCTGCCTTGCTTGGGGTGAAAAGCTTAAATAAAAAAAAGGACCCAAAGAGTGTGAGTTCAATACCCAGTTAAGGCAGTGGAGAACTTGGAGAGGGAAATTAACAGGAGATAACTGATAACTGACATCCATTAAAACATAGCATGTGGAACTAGAACAGTCTACCCCAGTGAGTAAAATAAAGGGTTCAGTTCAACATTCCAACCACCTGAAGAAGGCCAGATCGTACAACGGCTTAAACGTTGTAATAAATATGGCGATAAAGATTAGGACAATAGTCCGAATAATGTAAATAATGTAATAAAAGATATTCTGACTAACGGTGTCTGTGATTATTTTTTAATTGAATTTTATGAGCCATCATAATCCTTAATTTAAGAATTCAATGAATTCTTTGTAAGTTCGTCGTCTATACAATACACCTTTGAATTTCTCCTATTCCGTAGATAAACATTTAAGCTTAACAACTCTAACAAAATATCGCATTAACATTATTGCATGAATTAAGGACATTATTTAAAAAAGAGAGGATCAATGAAAAAAAAATCAATACTGACAAAGATTTCCATTTCATTGACGCAGACGTTAAATGCATGAGAGCGTTATCACCTTCTCCCTTTTCTCTTTCTTTGTTGTTGTTACGAGTGCTTTATTATTTACGCTAAAAACAAATGATGCCAGTGTTACATTTTTTCTACCTTCTGTTTTCGCAATCAAAACGGAACGGGCCATTATTTATCTGAGGTAATGGCAGGGCGTAATGAACGTGCTAATTTACTGTCTACTATTATAACATGATCGTAATTTGATCGTAATTGGCTTGCCCCAAAAATATATATTCCAGTATACACCACGGATTTTGCACATTTTTCAAACTTCCCCAAATTTAGAGTAACACATACATATGCAGATATTTTGAATTCAGAGATGGGGAGAGAGAGAGAGAGAGAGAGAGAGAGATGGAGAGAGAGAGAGATGGAGAGAGAGAGAGAACGTCGGGGTGTAGAGCGGCCGAAACATTAGAATAGACGAGGTAGCTTCTGTGAATCAATGTATGGCGCATTTGTTCAGTGTACATTGAAAATATGGATTGCAAATATTTACATCCAGAGTTTTTATCTATTTGTATGAAAGTCAACAAGAAATCATTATTTCTGCTCGACAAATATTCGTGTCAGTTAAGCCTTTCTTACTGGGCTTAGTATTGAATAGCACTTCTGAAAGCAGATGTTACAAGCGATGGCAGGTTGAGATATTAAATCAATCACTTTCAGAATATATATATATATATATATATATATATATATATATATATATATATATATATTTCACTCCTTAAGACAGAATTATATCCAGCAAACCCGACACAATTATTTATGCAAACCAGCAAGATAACCAGACGTTGCCCCAAAATAAAACTGATCTAAGGCTTTTATCTATATTGACATTTATCAGACCATCAGTGGCTGGCAGAAAACAGACGGTGTGTGTGTAAGAACTTAGTTAAACCACTCTCCTATTAGGGTAGGTTGATTTTTCACTTTTTTTAAAAGAAAATCAACATTGCACTCCATGTGAAAGTTGGTTTTTGATGTACTAAGTACTACCATTGAACATTAGATTCATAGCTTTTATCAAATTTTGAGCATTTAGATTTAAACAGTATCTAAAAAAGATTACAAAAATAACTAATTTCCACAGACTTCAATTTTTACTACTTCAAGAATAAATTTCAAAGTTGATATTTGTTGCATTAGATACATTGAATGGAAAATATATTCAAACCAAAATTCTAACAGTGAATCAAGCAAAATATATAACTTTCCTACATAAATTTTCATATTCAGTAAGTAAAAATTATAAATAATTGTAAAAGATTGTAAAAAAAAGCTACCCAATGAATAAGATTTGTTATATCATTTGTTAGATCATAATTATTAAAAACAAAATATAGATAAAAGTGTATATAAAAGGATAGTTCCACTGGGCACAAATTATAAGACAAGATTATCCTCATCTTCGTCGCCGTATTCATTACAACGTTTCGGCTTTCTTCAGGTGGTTGGAATGTCGAATTGAACCTTTTGTTTCGCTCAGTGGGATAGACTGTTCTAGTTCCACGTGCCATGTTTTATGGTTGTCAGTTATCAGTTATCTCCTGTTAATTCCCCTCTCCAAGTTCTCCACTACCTTAACCGAGTATTGAACTTACACCCTTTGTGTCCTGTCACTGAATCTAACCAATGCCTTCATCCACTGTGCCATGTGTCCTTGAAGGCAATGATGAAGATGAGTCCGAATAATGTAAATAATACCTCATCTCAGAAATATAGACAGATAATATAAGACAAGATATTTTAAAATTTGCATTGTTTATTTAAGGCAACGTCATTTTCCTTGTGGACATCTGCACAAAGATGACGACAATAGTCCTCATCTTTGTCGCCACATTTATTACAACGTTTCGGACGTTGTACGCTCCGGCCTTCTTCATGTTTAATGGATGTAAGCTATCAGTTATATCCTGTTAATTCCCCTCTGAAAGTTCTCAACTACCTTAACAGGGTATTGAACTCACACACTTTGGGTCCTGTCACTGGATCTAACTAACGCCTTTATCCACTGTGCCATGTGTCCTTGTTGTTATGTATTACATTAACTTTAATTTAATAAAAATGACGTCTTAACGTAGTATAATTATTAGAAAGACATTCTTATTGTCAATTCGATTCAGTCTGTATATCTTATAACTTTGATCCTGTACCAAAGTAGGTTTAATAAAAAGGTGTCTGTGGTGTATGCGTATGATTAGAGAGTTAATCTGGTTGACCATTACAACTTACTAATGTGTTGGTTAATTGCTGGTTGGTACTGTGCAAATATAAGAAAGCTGAGTAAAAAGAGCGCTTCGCCGTTTAGTTATGGCTAACGAGCTCTTCTAGTTTACTCTTAATGTTGTATATTGAGTTTTATTTTTTTACTTCTATCCTTATATCAAACCAAGCTAAGCTTATATAGATATATTATATAATAATAATTAATTCATCGAGTCTAGACGAATGCAGAAAGCAGACGGCCGTTTCGTCCTATTTTGGGACATATCAGTGCGCATCCCCTTTTCCGTCTACGAAACTCTTGAGTCGAGATGATGAATATACCATCAATCAGCTAAGTTACAAATTTTATAGGTTTGGTTTGATTTGTTTTGTTTTACGGCATATGAACCAGAATGGGTTATTTAATTTTTTTTTATTGCTGGTAATATTTTTCTTCATAAATTTATTGCTAGTATTTTTTACAGTTATTCGGCTGTACCATTTACTTTTTGGCGTTATTCGGTAAGATCTTCAACTTTTTGGGTTTATTCGGCAGTACCTTTTACTTTTTTGGGTTTATTCGGCAGTACCTTTTGCTTTTGGGTTTATTCGGAAGTACCTTTTACTTCCGTTGTTAAATTAGTGGATACAACTTTTGAGATCCTGGCTATTTGACGCATTATGTTTAACTGGATCTCAAAGACGCTGAAGCTATTCGTAGAATATAGAAATGAGAAGAAAACTAAATAAATATCTAACTCTAACGCCTTAAATTGTGTTCAGCGTTTAACGGCGGCTTCTTTTCCTACCGGCTCTGATTAAGGTTTCGGAGGGCTGAATTCGAATTCCAGTCGAATATATTAGATTTACTTACGCGATAATATCCTAAGGAAAGGTATCAATCCATCTCTCAACCGCAGAATAGCAGGTTCTGACTGGCAACCACACTAAGAGAAGGGAAACTCTGAATTGAAACCGCCTCCTACCTTGTAGTAACTGCCTCTTTGAGCAAAGGCTGGAAGAAGGTAACTTCAAAAACAAATCCATCTCGCATATCATTTCAAAGGGAACTATCCCCACCCCCCCTGAATTCGGGCCGCGACCGAGAAGAATAAAATCCTCAGGCTTACTACAATGATTTGAACATGCACAACTCTGGGACATAGCAGGGCGTCGTGGACCTCTCTGTGTCGGATCATTCACCCATGAGTGTATCGCCTACGAAACTTTAAACGGCCACGACGAATTTTTTTCTTAAAAAGCCAAGAAGGTGACGATGATTAGTTGTGTTAAAACGCAAAGTAGAGGAGACCCAGCAAAAGTAGGAGGATTCATATGTTGAGCTTTTCAAGTTCATTAAAAGCGAAAACAAAAATGATACGCCCAGTATAATGTCTTTCTTTTATTATAGATAGAAATGACGCAAGTTTTCTACTCAAAACTGCACGCAAATACATCATCACACTGCGATACAAAGGTAAAAAACGCACACAAAACTAACACACATGCGTTTGCATTTATATAGTTACAAATGTGGCCATATGTTGATTGTAACTCGTCTCCACGCATGCAAGGAATGTGTCTATCTTAATTACGTTGACAGATTAAATATAGCCAATAAAAGTGCAGCGGAGGGGGATTTGTCGCTGCGCATGCGCAACTAAGTACGCGGAGCTAATAGAAAAAGTGGCGAAAATGTGTTCCTTTGGAGACAGAATCAGTGTTCAATGGAAAAGGATAATGTAAATGGTTTTTAGATCAATGAAAAATCCGAAATGAGTCAACTGAAGTAAAGATCTAGAAAAAATATCTTTATAGATATAAAGAAATTGATAGATAGATAGATAGATAGATAGATAGATAGATAGATAGATAGATAGATTCAGAGAAACTGAGGGATAGACAGCAATGATAAAAGAATTCTGCGATGGTAAGGAAGAAAAGAATATAGAATCAAGCAACAAAGGAAAACGTAAGAAAGAAAGAAAGAAAGAAAGAAAGAAAGAAAGAAAGAAAGAAAGAAAGAAAGAAAAATAAAAGGAATAAAGAAAGATAGATGGAAAGGAAAAATAAAGAAAGAAAAATGAAAACAAAAACGAAAAACAGAAATTCTTGAAATAAGAAGTAGAGAAAAGGAAAAAAGAAATAAATAAAGAAAGAATAAGAAAAGAAAAAAGAATAAAAAGAAAGAAAAAATAAGTAAGAAAAAGAAAGAAGAAATGAGAATTAAGAAAAATAAAAAAAAGAAGAAAAAGTATCGAAAAAAGAAAGAATGAAGGAATTATGGAAGAAAGGGGAAGAAAAGTAAAGAAGAAAGAAATGAAAATGATGAAAAATATAAATAGAAAAGGGAAAGAAATAGAAAATAGAAAAAAAACGAAGAAAAATTAACAGAAAAAATATGAAGAGTGAAAAAAAAAGGAAAAAAAATTGTGAATAAAAAGAAAAGAAAGAAACAGAGTACAAAAAATAAATACAAAAACATAGACCAGAAGAAAAATTAAAAAAAGAATTTACAAAAATAAAAGAATATAAAGAATGAATAGAATAAAAAACTGACAAAAAGAAAAAGAAGACAAATAAGTGAGAAATGAAATATAGGATGAAGAAAAAAAAATGAAAAAAGAACGAGAGATATAAATTATAGAATGAAAAAAGACATAAAAACAAGTAATAGAGACAAAGAAATGGAAAAAGAAATAAAAATAGAAAAGAAAAATAAAAGGTAGAGAAATGAAAGTAATCGGCAAAAAAGAAGAAAAAAAAGAGAAATAGAAAAATAAAGAGTAACAATGTGAAAGAAGACAGAAAGAAAAAGAAAAAAAGAGAAAGAAGAAAAGAAGGGGGAAGGAAAATAAAAGTCGATTAAAAAAGAAAGTGGAAAAAGAGAAGGAAAATATTTAGAAAGAGCGAAAAAGTAAACAGAAAATTTGAATGAAAAAAAGAGAGAAAAAGAATTAAAAAAATGAAGTAAAGAGAGAATTAAAAGAAAGAAAGAAAAAGAGAAAGTGAAAGAAAGAAAAAAGAAAGGTAAGGAATGAGAGAGAACAAAGAAGAAAAAAATAAAAGGTAAAAGACTGCAGAATGTTAAAGAAATAATGATCAGAAAGAGAATTAAATGAAAAATTCATGAAGAAAAGTAAGAATATTCGAAGAAAAATGCAATGATGAAAAATGGAAAATAAAGAAGAAAATTAAGAAGGAAAGGAAAATTAAGATGAAGAAGTAAAAAAAGGGAATGAAGTGAAAAAAATACAACGGAATAGGAAATAGGAATAAAGAAAGAAAATGCAAGCGAGTGAGAGAGAAAGATAAGCTTGAGTGGGAAAGAGAAGTGGCAAGTAAGAATAGAATGAAAAGAGAAAGGGAGTGATACTAAGGTGTGAGAGGAAAGAGAGAGTGTAAAATGTAGTGAATAATAGAAGATTAAGAATGAGTTATAGACGAGCTGAACGGAAGCGAGAATGAGAAAGAGAGAGAGGGAGAAGAGAGAGAGAGGGACGTAAAAAGTGAGTTGGATAGGGAGCGAGAGAGAAAACGGCAAAAGAAAAACCTTCAACGATAGACATTTTGTAAAGAGGGAAAAAATAAGGTCGAAAAAACTGACAATAAGGTGTTAGGTCTCGTTTGTGTGTGTCTGTATATATATATATATATATATATATATATATATATATATATATGTGTGTGTGTGTGTGTGTGTGTGTGTGTGTGTGTGTGTGTGTGTTTGATTGCGCGTGTGTGTATACATACTTCATGAAATATTTATCTAAGTCTCGACCAAACAGTCTGTTTCTCTCTATCCTTCCTTCACTATCTATCTATCTATCTATCTATCTATCTATCTATCTATCTATCTATCCCTATTGACTTATCTATCTATATTTCTTACTCATTTCTCTCTCTCTCTCTCTCTCTCTCTCTCTCTCTATATATATATATATATATATATATATATATATATATATATGTGAAGTTATGTGTGTACATACACCGGCAAATATTTATCTCCTTCAAACAATATGTCTTTGCATCTTTCCTTCGCTATCTAGGTTTTTTACACTTCTCTCTCATTCTCTTTTATATATATATATATATATATATATATATTTATTTATATATATATATATATATGTATGTATATATATATATATGAGCGCACCAGGTTCTTTTCTCCTCTAATTTCTATATGTGTAAAAGCGTCTCTATTGAAATGAAATAGCATTACTCTGATTAAATCACGTGCCGACTAAACATCCGAAGAGTCAATGAAAAGTCACGTGTCATATGATGCTAAATATTACAAAAAAATTCCACGCCTTTTGTCAAGCATAAGAAGAGGTAGACCTATTGTCCAGACTTCAAGCACTCCACACCCGACTTACTTTTTTTTTTACTCCCATATATGAACTGTTCACGCATTTACAAAACGAAAAGAATCAACAGAAATAACGAAATCAATAAAATCACGAATTACCCGCCAAATGTAGACAGCCTACTAACACAAAGTTAGAGACTATAACAGTGTATTGTAGAACAAACTGGGGGTGGGGGGAAGAAAAAAATGATGTGAATACGTTGAAATCATCAGGATTTTATTTTTTGAAGTTTCTTTTTCAGGTAGATCACTCTATGTTCTGTTAGATATTTTTTATCAGGGAAAGAATTAACAACTATAAAAAGAAAGAAAAAAACTAAACGAAAAAAGAAACGAATTATCTCTGCTCTATTCTGATAAAAGAACCTGTAGAATGGTTTGACGTTGGAACCATTAAAGAGAGAATACCTGCTGTTATTGCTTGAAATCAGTTATTCTCGAATTGGAGGCATTTGGCCCCTCGGAGAGGAATTTCAAATGTAAAGGAAGAAATCTGTGCCAGGTGTGGAATTGGATAAAATTCGAAGTAATATAAAAGTCATGGCTGTCTGAATTTCTGGGATGAGGAGTTATCATTATTTAAACTATTTATATTCGGACTATTGTCCCCATCTTTGTTGTTCATATCACCTGATTGCTTTCAGTCTGAATTTCTGGGATGAGGAGTTATCATTATTTAAACTATTTATATTCGGACTATTGTCCCCATCTTTGTTGTTCATATCACCTGATTGATTTCAGTCTGAATTTCGGGGATGAGGAGTTATCATTATTTAAACTATTTATATTCGGACTATTGTCGCCATCTTTGTTGTTTTTATCCCCTGATAATTGTTCTCATCTTTGTTGTCGTTATCACTACGTTTTGGCTGTTGAGCTGTCCGGCCTTCATCAGCTGTATATCAATCTGGATAACCTACAGGGAATTCCGAACAGAACCGTATTCCTGCTGCTACAACATAGCTGCCCTGTGCCTTTTCTATAAATACATTCATTGTAATTGTTCTGATATATATATATATACTACCTAGTCTATGAATGTGGTTATACAGAAGGATGCCGAGGATATCATGGACCGAACATGTGAGCAAAAACGAAGTTTTAGAGAAAATCGAAACAAAAAACTTGTACTTAACACCAGGAAGAGACAGTTGAAATTTCTAGGACACACAATGAGAAAGGAAGGCTTGGAAAATCTGACACTCACGGGGAAGATTGAAGGCAAGAAGGACAGATGAAAACAACACCTACCATGGTGAGCTAGACTAAACGGATGGAGGAACACTGCTTAGGAGAGATAACAAAAAGACAAAAGAGCTACAAATGACAGCAAATTGTGGAGAGCCATGATCGACAACGCACTGAAGGAACACTGCCAAAAGAAGAATAAGATGTTTACTACTATAAATAGTAGATATAGTAGTACGACTAATGATTCTACTACAGGTCTTACTACTATTTCTATTACTAAACCTACTTCGACTAAATCTATTATAATTACGCCTGTTACTAATACTATCTCATCTCAGTTAATGTAACGGCTCGGTCAAACCTTGCTAAATCTTTGTCCAGGGAAATTCTTTTTTTTTTTTAACAAGAATAAACATTACTTTCATTTTGAATCTTTGTTTGTTTTGTTTTCGCTTTGTTTTCGTTTTTATTGTAGTAAGAAAGTTAATCTGCACCCTCTCTACTGACCGACAGCTGCCCACGTGATGGAACTTAGATTATCCTCGCTATGTTTAATCCCCATTTACTCCCCACCGTCCGATGCCACACACCAGACATCTTCGTCTCATCCTGTAGGGCTATAGACGTTTGTCTTCTTTCTTTACACACACGCACAGACATACACACATAGAAACGTGTGCACGCGCGGCACGTCATGTTTCAAAATCTCCTGACCCTCTTCTCTGGATAACCGGATAAGCCTTTAATTACACGTTCTTAATAAACATGTGTATGTTTAACTAAAGCGGCAAAGAGGGCAAGTGGCTTTACTGACGACTTTGAGTTTAGGTATTCATCGCCAGCGTACCGTTAATCACTAAAGATTCAGACCTTTATAATCAAGATAGACCATGCCACTTCGACGGAGTCAAATCATCCTCATTTCCACCGTATTCTAAATGAAAGAAGAAAGTTCAATTCAGACAACTGTAACTTTGTGGAACAGACTCCTGCTTGAACTCTTTCCTGAAGACAGCAATTTTAATCTCTTCATGACAATCTTTATCTATTTTTTTAGTTTGTTACTAGCAGCATGGCCCGGCGTTGCCGTGCTTGATTCACAAATCGTACGACTCATACAGCAATCGCTATCACTTGACTTAAAATATTTTTGCCATTCCTTGCCTTTAAAGAAGTGCCCTTTGTCGTGCTGATGTTACTACATGCCTTACTTCTTGTCTATCTCACACTGCGAATTTTTTCTAAGCTCTATTCTAAACATTAAATCTGTTACGAAAAAAGAACTAAACAAAATGGACACAAAACGATCAGCTTTAAAAAAGGACTCGTAACTGGAAAAACCGAATGAAAAAATAATGTTAACAACAAATATTTTTTCACACCCAAACCAGTTCTGCGGAATCAGAATCAACGTTGAGTTTAAGCAAGCGAATGAGCCAATTGGAGTAAAGTGCCATGCAGATTTAAGTTTTTCCCACTTGTGACGAATGCAACTATCGATTTCTTTTGCATTCAAGCATGCTAGTTAACATTCGTGGCCAATAGAATCTTCTTGCTTATTCGTGGCAGCCAGCTATTGGCTCTCACTCTGACCAGTACAAAATGGCCGCAAACTACATGAAAACTGCCGTAGAAGCATGAAAAAATCGATTATTTCCACTATCGATGGGAGTTGGGAAATTCAAAGTCGGTCTTGGCCTTCCCGCTAATTTGGAGCATGTGCATGTAAATTTTGGTGCAAATCCGTCAAAAATTGCGTCCGTGCATTCGTTACACACACACACACACACACACACACACACACACACACACACACACACACACACATCCTGCCTTTTATAGATAGAGATGAATACACCCCAACGGGTGCGTAGGATCGCCTCGTCAGTGAGGTTATGACTTAAGGTCATGACAAGTTTCTGGTCTTTTAACATCATACTTGTTCACCCAAGAGTCCCTACCAACACAATACCTATTCCGGCAGGCGACACTGAAACATTGATTCACCATGCACACAACAAGGGACATTTAAATAATTGCCACTGTTGATCTTGAAATAGCAAGCGACCAATCAGAAACGCCCATATGTCACTTACTCTTCAGCCAAAAGGAGAAAAAAGAGAAGCGAATGATCGTCTTTTCCCTCTTAGATCCAAAACATCCTTAACTTCATAATCTTACTTTTACCTACTCTTACGTTCAGATCAAACACCCCATGCATTATTATCTTAAACCTCTATCTTGAGCGACTCTCCAGTCTTTTAATGGTTGAACTTTACTATAGATATGGTAAAAGCTTGTGCCTCGGATTTAGAGTCCGTAAAATAGAATGAAGTATATTATAGAAGAATCTCAATCATTCCTGTTATCTGCAACCAAGAGGACCTCACTATCCATGGAATCTCCAGCCATGGGAACCTCAATGTACATAAAATCTCCAACAACGGTGACCTCACTACTCATGGAAGCTACAATCCCGGGCAACTCATTTTCCATGGAATCTCTAACACACGGTGACCTTACTATCCATGGAATCTGCAACCATGGGAACCTCAATGTACATAAAATCTCCAATCACGATGACCTCACTACTCATGGAAGCTACAATCACGGGGACATCATTATCCATGGAATCTCTAACACACGATGACCTCACTATCAATGGAATCTCCAACCACGGGGATCTCACTATCCATGGAATCAACTATTACCGGGACTACATCTAACCATGATGACCTCACTATCCTCGGAATCGACAAACACGAAAACCTCGCTATCCGTGGAATCAACCATAAGGTCTTCATTATCCATGGAATCTCTAGCCATGAGAACCTCACTATTGGTGGAAGCTATTGACGAATCGATTAATACTTTTTACGGATTATCAACCCTTTATAGTTTATTTAAAGCTGAAGCATATTTTGTATGGCAAGAATACTTCTTTTATTTTCTTATAAAAACAATTCTTGAGAATAATAATTATT